TAATTCTGAGGCCTCTCTCCCAACCTGGTAAAACCTCTCCACTAGAATTTTGAAGAAAAAAAAAAAAAAGGTGGTATTTGCGGTGCCCTCATAAACAGGATCCCAAAGATTCTCCCCTCCTCACCCATCAGATGCCCCAGGCTGGAGGGTGGCCCCAGGAGAACACCTTCTAGCCCCTGCCTCCTTCCCCATCTACCCCATCTATTCAGCGCCCCTCAGAAAACATCCCAAGTTTGTAGCAGAAAACAAAAGTGTAAATCAGAAGAGGTGACATTCACACTTCACACCTTCATGTAGAAGCCCAGCAAGCTCTTGAACCCAGAGCCAGGATGCCTTCCAGAGCCAGCTGCTGCCAAGACCCTGAGAGAAGGCAATAGAGGGAAGAGGCCTGCTCAGAAGCTCAAGCATCTGATCCTCCATTCTAAAACACCTGCTAGTGCTGCATAGCTGGGGTCTCCATGATGACTGAAGATGAGACTGACACCTGGTCCACTGCTGCCATGGCCACAGTGGTCCTCAATGTAATGTTGCCATCTGAGTGGTAGCCCAGATGTGCTGGATGTGACTAGCAGGAATGTGTGCAAAACATAGCCCTTAGCAGGGCCCAGCCTTACTAAGAGGTCATGTATGCACTAGGCAAGGCCAGGCTGGCTCTATGGTCTGCAACTGTCAACCTCACCACAGGGGCAGCAGGGACTGAGAGAAGAAGGGTTGGAGTCTCTGTTATTCAGCTCCTCTGAGCAGCAGATGCCCAGAGCACACTAAACTGCAAGGGTTTTAGGAAGGAACATAACATTGTGAAAATTATGAAGGACTGGGTGAGCCATCAGACCTTAAAGCAAGTATCAGCCCTAGTGGGAAACAGAGGGGAAGAGGATGGGTGGGACTGCTCAGAACTATATTCTAAGGAAAATCCATGGAGCCTTTAGGGAGTCTTTGAAACAGCCAGCAAATAAGTTCCGGGCATGCCAACAGCAAGTTGGCCTTAGCACCCCCACCACACTCGGTCATCAGAGGAGAGCTGCCAGGAGATGCCCATACCAGGTAGACACCTGGAAGGAGCAGCCCCACATGGAGGAGGTCAGGCACACAGAGTCCTAGGTACTGAGGCTGGGCACCATGGATGGAAGTGCAGCTGAGAGAACCCAGAGGTTCCTGGGCTCCCTGGGGCCCAAGCCAGGACCAGCAGGTGAACACACATAAGGAACTAGAAGACCTACTTGCTGGTGGGGTTGTCCTAGAAGGGGGCAGGCGGGTGGGACCAAAACCTCCTGCAAGAAAGCAGAATACCATCTGTGGGGCTCAGAGATTGGCTGGTGTTAGGAAAGAGGCTCTTTTCTACTTATTTTAAAAATCAAAGTTATACATTCACAGGTAACAAATGGTCAAATAACACTTAAGAAGCTTTACTTCAGAAAACAGCAACTGTCCCCCTTCTTTGCCATTTGCTGTCTCATTTGCCGGTGCTATCTCCTTCTCCCAGAGTGATGGCCACCCACTCTGTTACCTGACCTTTGTATGATTGCTTCATTGGCAATTTTTTGCAACAATTTGGTAATAATTTGACAGTTAACCTATTCTTCCAAGTGTATAGCATCTCATAACAGCCTAAATTAGATTCTCATATGTTGCCGATTTTCTTAAGAATATTCCTTATGTTAAAGCCCTGATAAAATACGTTTGAGTTCCTTGGGAGTGTCCCTGCCACAGTGTTTGGGCCTTGATTCAAACAGGGAGATCCCACATTTATGCAGGGTCTGCCCTGTTCTCACATGAACTTCTAGCACCATTCTCTCTTCTGGTGACTCCTAGCTATGCTTGATGGGGACATATGAACATCAGGAGCCTCCAAATCATGCTTACATTCTTCAAACATAAACTTGGACCCAAATCCCCCCCATTCCCCTTGGCATTGCTGCCAAGCGCCCAACATTTGAAGGCCCTGGACTCATTGCTGAACAGCCCCTAGTCTGACTTCAATCCACTCTTTATGCCCAGAGTCTGGCCCTTCCCCTCAGGCCTCAATTTTCTCCTGATTCTATTGATCACATCTGGACATTTAGCACAGAATAGGATGAAAAGGGACACGGCAGTAATGGGAGAGATGGCAGGTGAGGTTTCTTTACCATCACCATGGAAACCCCTCACGCCATGTGCACTGGGTGGGGCTTCGGAGGTGACGAGGTCAGACAGTGCTTCTTAGGCCCTGGGTTCATCTCAGCTCACTGGAACCCTCAGACATTAGGAATCCCTGGGAGGTAGTGGTGTCACTGAGCCCCATTTCAAGGGCTTACCACACTCCCTGCTCTGTGTGATATTGACAAGTCCACCCTCTCTGAGCTCCAATTTTTGTTTTTACTCTTTAAAGTGTGGGACATTTCTTTATTCCCGAGTGAACAGCAGGAAATGAGATGGAGAGCCGAAAGAAGTACTTACGGAGGATCACAAAGTAAGGAGTACGTGCAAAGGTCTCACTGAGATCCAATGACAGCTGAACCTGTCAGAGTCTAAGATCTGGACCAGATTTGGTTGAAGTTTTCGGGGAGCCTATATGACAACATTTTGTTTCTATTGGCACCATGTCATACATGAACAATGTCATAGCACTCAAAAATGGGTTTAGCCGAAGCCTAAAAATATGCCACAAAGTTCAAGAAGAAGCTAAAATATTATCAGATTATTTGTTAAAGACATAATCAATCAGGAAACTTTAGAAAACACCAGCATGCATCATCCAAAGTAGTAGATTCCAGTTCAAAAAAAATGACAGCGAGAAAGAAAGAGGAACACAGCAGAAGCTCAGAGGTGGGTGAGATTTGGGAAGACAGTTACTTTGTAGGACCCTGTGAGCAACCTGCACCTGAGTCCAAAAAGACAGCTGGAATTAAAGAGAGAATGAAGCAGAAGTTGCACCCCAGGAAAATAAATATTTGGTGAGAAACGCTTATAATATCATCTCCAGGAAGATCTGGTCATAAAATCCTTCCAGAGAGAGGTCCTCAAACCCAAATTCACTTCTTGAGGCCAAACACTGAAATTGGCTGAACCCCTGTCTACTGTCTACCCACACCATGTTCCACCTGCAAGGCTTTTCTCTCCTTTAAATGAGATGAGTTAAGAACGGAACCTGTGTTTGAGGATGGGTCTTCATCTTCACTTGACCATAACTTGCCTACAACGTTAGGGTAAATGTAATACTTTCTTTTGTTCTTTATAATTAAAAACCAAAGCAAAACCCCACACCAATAACTTCGTCAAGAGATTCTCACTTGGGCATTGGACCCATTGGCCATATCAAACTCTGATCTGTACACTCTTGGGGGATTAGAATATGCCCAGTTGGTAGAGCACCTGACCAGCTGGGAAAGCACTTGCCCTTCATCTCATTCCACCCTCAAAACAGAGGGTCCAGGAGGACAAGGACTGCCAAGGCTCTAAGAAGTTCTCTCACCCAATGTTACTCCTGGCAGCAAATTGTAAGGAGGAGTAGCACTCACCAAGAGGCCTAGGGCCTGCCTTGGATCTTTGCATATAGAACGTAATGGCAGCCCTCAGTGCATTAGTGAAGACATGGATCTTACTAAGGAGAGAAAAGAGGCACAAAGAAGCTTGTCGAACTTGCCCAAGATCACACAGCCAGCCTGTGGCCCAGCTTGCCTTTGAGCTCAGGCACTCGACTCCACATTCTCTGACACATTCTGGTTCCTCTGACTTCTTCCCATCTGAGGCTCCCTGCTCTGCGCTCAGATGCCCCCTCTGACTCGCTGCTCAGGAACATAGGCTTCCACAGATAGAGGTAAGGATACGAAACCAGTCAGGCTGGCACGGACTGAATCCAAATCCCAGGTTTCTCTCCAAGTCCAGGCCTTTCCTGGCAGATATGAGCAGCAAGACCAGGGTAGCCACAGAGGTGACCTTGGCTGGGCGGAAACTCCCTGAATAGCCAAGTGTGCATGGGATTCTTCCAGGGCTCAGCCCGGTCCTGTCCTGTTCCGGTTAGGAGGCACTGGGCATCTGGGCACTCAAAACCTCCCACTGTGAAGAAGACTGAACCAGTAAGGCCACACGCCGGGCACGGGTCCCCATTTTCAGAGGATGGAGTCAGCCCTGTCGTGCTGCTCATGCGTCCACCTCCTGCAGGCTCCCTCTATCCAAACGACATTTCCATACCTGGGAATTTGCAAAAGGAGAGAGTGAAAGGCCCAGGGCATTTCTGTGGTCCCTACTAACCATCAAAGATACTTTGGTCTGTGTGTTCCTCATTTTCAAATTAGAGGCTAAACATGGACAAGGCTGGTAGCAGAGTGTGCAGGTCTCCTGGCCAGCTCTGTATTTACTCCTCTCTCCAGGCAGAGTGGCCAGTGCCACTCGTTCAGGCAGCAGTCACGTGAGGTCCATCCTCTGGGAAGGCCGTCCCTGATGGTCCCTCTGTGATTCTGACCACAGGATGCCGGCAGCGCCCAGAGTCCCAGGTGGAGCAGAATCGGCCATGAGAATAAGCTTGGTTCCGAGGTCTTTCTGCTGTCATGTCTGTAATTACTAAACTTTTTTCATATAATTGCATTTTTCAAACATATGAGGATTACAAAAAAATAACCTAACAGGTAAACAGAAGTGCCATTTTGCTTTCATGGCTCCGACCCCCTAAGGGGCAGGAAAGCAAGTGACCTTATTCCTGGTATCAAAATGGCATGGCTGGAGTTCAGGTGGGCTGATGGGAAGCTGTGCATCCTGTAGCACCCTGGAATGGCTGAAATTAAGTCTTTTATGTGGCAAAATTGACTCATGGAGCAGAAATAGTCCACCCATATGGACATGGGAGCAAGATGTCCTTCAGGCCCCCAAACCTCTTCTGAGCCTCTTTGCCTGCAGACAGCTGGGCGGGTGTGTCTGACCATCCCATGTGGCCAGGGTCCATCTGCAGCAGTTGTGGATTGAGACCTGTGTCTTTGTCCGTGCTGATTTGAGAGGGATTGGAGGAAGGCTGCGGCGTCTTGGTCTTCTTCCCCAGTGTTAGCCACTGCAATGGCAGGGGGAGGAGGTGGTAGGCTGAGAGCACGGACAATGCAAAGGCAGTCATGGCTGATTGCTAGAGGGAAAGATGAAGGAGACATTAACTCTTCTCCTGAGGCCCAAATCAGAAGAGATATTTTTCAGGTGTTGAGCATGCATGTGCCTCACTTGGGTACGGGCAGCATTTCTGATTGAACAGAGCCACAGCGCTTGATGCAGGTTTACGTGAGCCCCAGTTTTACCAGGGGGTCTTCTCTCCTCCCTCCTCGGATGTCTCATGGCTCCATCGCACTCTTAGTGGCCTGGTCTTTCTCTCAGACAATTCCAAGCTGGTTCCCCTGCTTTGCTATCCCCCACAACCTCTCCCACACCATTGCCCAGCTCCCAAGAGCTCACTGTGGCTGAGGAAAGGGGGTGCCTTGACATGGAGTTCCCTTCACATGAGGGGCCCAGAACACTCCCCCTGGAAGTGCTCCACCAGGACCCCTGCCACATGTGCCTCTTGGTGCAGGGAGGGGAAGAGAGCAGGTCGTGTCCGATGTGGGTGTGTCTGTGTGCAATGGCTGCTTGTATCCTTGTGTGTTGTGTACCTGCTCAGCAAACACCTGCGGTTAACTGAGTGCCCAAGTGATTCTTCTGATCGGGTACGGCCCTGGAGGAAGTGCAGGAGATGGCCTTCTCTTTTTGCCTTGTGGGGTCCAATTCCCCAGGATCACTTTGTCCTGTGGCCAAGAATGATCCTGGGCAAAACAGCACATTTAACCCAAGTTGGATTTCAACTCAACACTCCCATTGTGCCTCCCTCTCATCCCAAATGTGCCAAATACTTCTAATCTTAGTATTTATTCTTTGTCTGTCAGGTCCTGTTCTCTATGAGTGAATATCCTAATGACCATAATAAAATCAGTTCCCTTTTTGGGGACTGACCTTTGCTGAGAACTGTCTCTATGAATGCTGTCTTGCCGCAAAACTTCACCTCTGGATAAAGCGGCTGTGCTCCTTCTGGGTGTCTGCATCGGGGCTGCTGAGGCACCGCTGAGAACGCACCACACAGCTGACTACGCTGCTGAGCATATCTCATTACCAGACGCACGTCCCTTTCAAGGATGCCAGGCCATTAGGGCTGCATTGCCACCTTGATGGACACTGGGGATTAATGCCTGTGTGTCCTTGTTCCATTAAAAAGTTTGAAGTTTTCTGGGTGCGGTGGCTCACGCCTGTAATCCCAGCACTTTGGGGAGGCCAAGGTGGGCAGATTACGAGGTCAGGAGATGGAGACCATCTTGACCAACATGGTAAAACCCCGTTTCTACTAAAATACAAAAAAGTAGCCAGGCGTGGTGGTGGCGGCTGTCATCCCAGCTACAGGGGAGGCTGAGGCAGGAGAATGGCATGAACCCGGGAGGCGGAGCTTGCAGTGAGCTGAGATCCGGCCACTGCACTCCAGCCTGGGCGACAGAGCGAGACTCCGTCTCAAAAAAAAAAAAAAAAAAAAAGTTTGAAGCTTGATTTTATGGGTTACTGCACATTGTAATGGTAACAAAAAAAAAAAAAAAAAAAAAAGTTTGAAGCTTGATTTTATGAGTTACTGGTATAATGGTAACTATATTAATTTCATATAGTTTAATTTTGTTTTCTCCCGACTTTGAAAGAAATCGACACTCTTTCATAGGCCTGTAAGTTTCCTGGTCAGTGTACCCACCCTGCCCATGGCTTAGGGGTCCTAGCAGCAAGCCTGTTTGTGACTGGCCCCTACACTCTCCCACTCTGCCCTGAGATTTTTTCTGAAAGGAATCTCCCTGCACAGAGGGTAGAGCTGGAGATCTCCATGTCCCAGGGTGGCTCCCAGGTCATCACTGCCCAGCATGTCTGTCTGCTGATAGGACTCTGTGCTCTCTTAACTCCTTTTTTTTTTTTTTTTTTTTTTTTTTTTTTGAGACGGAGTCTGGCTCTGTCTCCCAGGCTGGAGTGCTGTGGCCGGATCTCAGCTCACTGCAAGCTCCGCCTCCCGGGTTCACGCCATTCTCCGGCCTCAGCCTCCCGAGTAGCTGGGGCTACAGGCGCCCGCCACCTCGCCGGGCTAGTTTTTTTGTATTTCTTAGTAGAGACGGGGTTTCACCGTGTTAGCCAGGATGGTCTCGATCTCCTGACCTCGTGATCCACCCGTCTCGGCCTCCCAAAGTGCTGGGATTACAGGCTTGAGCCACCGCGCCCGGCCCCTCTCTTAACTCCTTAATGGAGTTCCTGGAGTTGGAGGGAAGCGCTTCTCACCAGAAACCTAATTGTGTCGGTTTATCTTTTTTTTTTTTTTTTTTTTTTTTTGAGACGGAGTCTCGCTGTGTCACCCAGGCTGGAGTGCAGTGGACGGATCTCAGCTCACTGCAAGCTCCGCCTCCCGGGTTTACGCCATTCTCCGGCCTCAGCCTCCCAGTAGCTGGGACTACAGGCGCCCACCACCTCGCCCGGCTAGTTTTTTGTATTTTTTAGTAGAGACGGGGTTTCACCGTGTTCGCCAGGATGGTCTCGATCTCCTGACCTCGTGATCCACCCGCCTCGGCCTCCCAAAGCGCTGGGATTACAGGCTTGAGCCACCGCGCCCGGCCGGTTTATCTTTCATTTGAAACAAATGATCAAAGTGATAACGTTTTCTATGTCTGTCTCTGGTCACTTAAAAACAAAACAGCAGGGAGTCTCCCTGACAGCCCAGGAGAACAGGAAGGCAGCCCTGGGGTAACCTGTCAAGGTTCAGATCATGACCCCCAGCACCGGCCACAGCTGGGTGACATCCTCATTCCCCAGGGGACAGGCGATCCCCTCCTCACCCTACAGCTCAGACCCCAGGATCGGCCCCAATCCCCGTGTTCTGAGTTCTTCCTACTTCCCCTTTCCATCCTGGTCTATCCCCAGCCAGCTCTGAAGGAGGCCAGCCCTGTGGGACAGGGAGGGGTCCAGCCTGAGACCCGACCTGAGCCGGGAGGGAGCGCTTGTCCTGCTCTGGCCCCTGTGTCGAGTCCCCTCTTACCCGGCAGGTGGTGACTCCCCATCTGCGGAGGCTCCCCCGCCAACGCCGAGTCCCCACCGGTCTGTCCTCCAGGGCCCGGTGCAGGAGCACCCTTTGCCCCTGGGTGGCCTGACCCTGCTGACCACGGGGTCACCTCCCTGACCACCAATACTCTGCCAACTGCCCCCTGAGTGACCAAGACAGCTCAGTCTAAATTCCCGACTACCCAGGGTGACCCAATAGTCCCGACTCCCCAAGACAGGGACCCTGAGACAAGGGCTTCGACGTCAGTTCCTCCAGGAACCAACTGCCGGGAGATTCTGATTGGCTGAGCCACGTGTCCACGTGACCGACCAAAACCGGCCACCAGGGTCTCCCAACTGCCTGTCAAATGCACAGCCCTGTGGGGTCCCCAGAGAGGAAGAGCCGAGGAGGAGGCCGGGCCGGGGGCTAGGCGGCTTCCTCCATGGACACTTTAATCCGCCTCACTTTTTTTTTTTTTTTTTTTTTTTTTTTTTTTTTTTTTTTTTTGAGACGGAGTCTTTGCTCTGTCGCCCAGGCTGGAGTGCAGTGGCACGAACTCGGCTCACTACAAGCTCCGCCTCCCGGGTGTACGCCATTCTCCTGCCTCAGCCTCCCGAGTAGCTGGGACTACAGGCGCCCGCCACCTCGCCCGGCTAGTTTTTTGTATTTTTTTTTTAGTAGAGACGGGGTTTCACCGTGTTCGCCAGGATGGTCTCGATCTCCTGACCTTGTGATCCGCCCGTCTCGGCCTCCCAAAGTGCTGGGATTACAGGCGTGAGCCACCGCGCCCGGCCTCCACCTCACTTTTTAATCTTTTTTTTGTCCAGCAGCTTCACTAAGTTATAATTAACACACTATGTAATTCGCCCATTTAAAATGTGCACTGGGCCCGGCGCGGTGGCTCACGCCTGTAATCCCAGCACTTTGGGAGGCCGAGGGGGTGGGGTGGGGGGTGCGGGTCACCTGAGGTCATGAGTTCAAGACCAGCCTGGCCAACATGGCGAAACTCCGTCTCTATTAAAGATACAAAAACTATCCAGGCGTAGTGGTGCGTGCTTGTAATCCCAGGTACGCGGGAGGCTGAGGCAGGAGAATCGCTTGAGCCTAGGAGATAGAAGTTGCCGTGAGCCGAAAGTGGACCACTTTACTCTAGCCTGGGTGACAGAGTGAGACCTTGTCTCTAAAATAAAATGAAATAAAATAAAGAGAATATACACTGGTTCTTAGTATATTCACAGAATTGTGCGATCATCGGCACCGTCTAATATGAGAACATTTTCTATATATATATGTAGAGAAAGGGGTCTTGCCATGTTGTCCAGTCTGGTCTTGAACTCTTGAGGTGAAACTATCCTCCTCCTTCAGCCTGTGCAATACCTATGCATAGGTGCAAGTATCCGTATTACAGGCATGAGATGCCTCACCTGGCCCAGAACTTAGTTTTTTACTGAAAAATATTCCCTTGTATGCATATACGGTATTTATCCAGTCATCAGCTGATGGACTTTTGAACTGTTTCCACTTTTGTTTATTATGAATAAAGCTGCTATGAGCATTTTTGTACAAGATTGTGTAGATTTATGTTTTCATTTCTGCTTATACATGTAGGAGTATAATTTCTCCGTCAAAGTATAACTCTGTTTAATTTTTGAGAGGAATTGCCAACCTGTTTTCCCTTTTTTTTTTTTTTTTTCAGAGACGGGGTCTCACTCTGTCAACGAGGCTGGAGTGCAGTGGCACAAACACCACTCACTGTAGCATCGACCTCCTGGACTCAAGTGACCCTCCAGTCTCAGCTCCCTAAGTAGCTGAGACTACAGGAACACGCCACCATGCCTGCAGAACTTTTTGTTTGTTTTTTATTTGTTTTGTTTTTGTAGAGACAGGGTTTCATCATGTTGCCCAGGCTGCTCTCGAACTCCTGACCTCAGGCAATCTGCCCATCTTGGCCTCCCAATTGCTGGGATTCCAGGCATGAGACACCGCACCTGGCCGCCAACCTGTTTTCTAAAGTGGCTGCACCATTTCACATTCCCACCACCAGTGATGAG